AAGTTGTTCAAATGAAGTTCTTAGCAATGCATATTGCTAATCAAAAATTAAGTTTTGATATATTTACGGCAGGAAATGTACAAAATATCTTCATGGAACATGATCTTTACTTAATATCCTAATGATTTTTGGCATAAAAGAAAAATTGATAATTTTGACCCATACAATGTTTTTTTTGGCTATTGCTACAAATATACCCAAGCGACTTAAGACTGGTTTTGTGGTCCAGGGTCACATATAAAAAAAATAATAATTCAAAATATTAATATAACTAAAATATGAATGTATCTCAATGATACTAAAATAACACTGGTAGTAAAGCTTGTCTCTAATGATCAAAACTTAAATTATACAATTAAAAATAAAACAAATAAAATTACTTAAAAACATTTAAAATTAGTTGCATATGTGGTTCGCATATGTTGTAATTTGGCACCTTTTTCAGCAAGAGTGACTCTGTAGTTCTCCAGGAAAATGACTTTGAGGCGGTCGCCCACTACAGGGTCATTGTTGACCACCTCACCAATAGCTGTGATGAGACGAATGATCATTTTAGCTGTGTGGTAGCCTGGAGCAGCCTGGTAAGAATTGAGCAGAACATAATCATCAGACACTCAACAACGGAATTAAATAAACATCTGACTGCATTTAAATCATATGACATGGTAAGATCACCTTTCCTCCAATCATAATTGTTCTTGGGGTCCACTGCTTGTTAGGCTCTTTCTTGATGCCTGCAAAGTAGAAGTAACACCCAAAAAATGTCATAATACCTCCCTCTAAACCTTCTACAGCTTTATCTGATGATGTGTGTGTTTGACAGCGTTACATTTTATTTTTGCAAAATATTTTTTATTTTATGTTACGGTTATTTGTTCATTTATTTTAACTTTTTTATAAATCAATAAATCAGTCATTAATTTATTCTTATTTGCTTTTCCAAAAAAGTTTAAAAATTCTCCTTTGAAAAAAACACGTTTGGGTAATAGGAATAAGGAGAAGGGGAGAAATATTGTTATTTGATTTTATGGTATTTAATATCAATTATTTATTAATGCTTACTTTCTCTTCCAAAAATGTTTAAAAATTCTCGTGGGAGAAAATACCCTTGACTGATAGCAATAGTGGGATGGGGGCCAAATATTGTTATTATTATATTTTATGGTATTTTCATTATTTTTCGTGCTTGTTTTCTCACTCCTGGCTAAAAGTGATAGTGAAATCCAAAAATGATTAAAAATTCTCCTAAGAGAAAACATCCTTGATTAACAGTGATAGTGAGAAGGGACAGAAATTAATGAAAGTGCAGGAGTCACTCACGGTTGTAGAAAGTGATAATGTGCAGACAGTTGAGCAGCTGCCTCTTATACTCATGGATTCTCTTCACCTGAATGTCAAACATTGAGTTGGGGTTGATCTTTACTTTGTAGTGCTCTTCCAGGTGCACAGCGAACTTCATCTTGTTCTCCTAGAAGAGGCGAGAACTTAAATCTTTTTTAAATTCCAAACCTACTGGGCCATTGATATGTGCCGCATATCTTTTCTTCTAACCTGTTTAACTTTGGCGACATCTCGAATAAAAGCCTCATCATTGACAAAATCACGAAGCTTTTTCAGTTGATCCAGGTCGCGGATGAAGTCCTCTCCGATTCTCTAACATGTGAGCAAGCCAAAGAATTCAGAGCAGGAATAAGGCTATCACACCATGACATTGTACATTATATAAAACTACAATTAGTGCACACACAGTTCTGCTGACAGTCTGGGATTCTGTCACAGTTATGTTAACAAGCAACAAATGAAGTTATGAATGACTGCACCAACCTCTGCAATGACCTCAGCCAGACCAGGGTTGCACATCACCAACCAACGGCGAGGGGTGATACCATTGGTTTTGTTCTGGAACTTGTGTGGGTCCATCTCATAGAAGTCTTTGAATCTATTTAGTACATGAATAGTAATCATTATTTACTCATCCTACTCATGTCATTCAAAACCAGTAGAAGTCAATTATTCACTGAGAATGACTGTGACTGGGTGATTGAGTCAGTAGGAGCAATTCGGCAACAAATCGTTCAGTCCATTTTGTGTAAACGGAACAATTTGTTCACCGGTTCAGTTCACTAACATAATGATCTGATTCTGATGACTTGAATTTCAGTCTGTTGAGGAATCAAGTGTGAAATGGCATGTACCATGTGAATGCATGGAAAGATATCTGACTAACATGGTGTGTTTGAATACATACACGGTAGCTTTGAGGATGTCCGAGTGGATTCGTGCCACACCGTTGACTGCATGAGAGCCGACGATGCACAGATGAGCCATGTTGACTCTCTTCTGTCCGCCCTCCTCAATGAGAGACATGCGGCGCAAGCGGTCCATATCACCGGGGTAAAGAGAGGACACGCGCTACAACAACAAACAGAATGGGTTCTGTATACAACACACTCACAAAACTTTTTGCAGTTATGGCATCTTTTAGGATTGATATTATGATTTATCCGCTACCGTTCTAACTTTTTGGTTGGTAAACCTTTGTTTTCAATGGGAAAAAAATATTGTTAAATATTATTACAATTTAAAATAACTTTTCTATTCTACTGCCTTTACTCCAGTCTTTAGTGTCACATGATCTTTCAGAAACCATTCTAATATTCTGATTTGGTGCTCAAGAAAAAGTTTTAAAATGCTGTGCTGCTTAATATTTTTGTGTAAACTGTGATACATTTTTTTCAGGATTCTTTCATTAATTGAAAGTTCAAAAGAACAGTGTTTATTTGAAATTCCTTTTTTTTTTTTAAATTGTAAAAGTCTTTACTGTCACTTTTCAGAAATTAAATGCGTCCTCGTTGAATAAAAGTATTAATTTATTTATTTTTTAATCGTACTGACCTGAAACCTTTGAATGGTAGTTTGTGTTTTATATATATATATATATATATATATATTGCCGTT